GCGATATAGGCCCTGGCCTAACTTTTGAAGGGAAGCTCGGATCCGGAGAATACATGTTTTGTCGGATTCTGCAACTGGTGGAGAACCTTAATATGTGTATACTTTTCGAATTTGAGGTCAGTTTCAAATTTTGACTTTTCATGCTTAATTGACTATTTGCCAACAAATAGAATACAGGCCCAGGCCTAACTTTTGAAGGAAAGGTCGGATCTGGAAAATACATGTTTTTTCAGGTTCCCGAACAAGTAGAGAACTTGAATATATGCATACTATTCGAATTTGAGGTCAGTTTCAAATTTTGACTTTTCATGCTTAATTGGCTATTTGGCAACAATGCAATATAGGCCCAGGCCTAACTTTTGAAAAAAAAGTCGGGTCCGGAAAACACGTGTTTTTTCGGGTTCCCCAACCTATAGGGAACCTGAATATATGCATACTATTCGAATTTGAGATCAGTTTCAAATTTTTACTTTTCATGCTTAATTGGCTATTTGCCAACAAATGCGATATAGGCCCAGGCCTAACTTTTGAAGGGAAGCTCGGATATGGAGAATACATGTTTTTTCGGATTCCGCAACTGGTGGAGAACCTGAATATATGCATCCTTTTCGAATTTTAGATCAGTTTCAAATTTTGACTTTTCATGCTTAATTCGCTATTTGCCAACAAATGCAAGGTGGGCCCAGGCCTAACTTTTGAAGGAAAGGTGGGATACGAAAAATACATGTTTTTTCGGGTTCCCCAACCTGTAGGGAACCTGAATATATGCATACTATTCAAATTTGAGGTTAATTTCAAATGTTGACTTTTCATGCTTAATTGGCTATTTGCAAATAAATGCGATATAGGCCCAGGTCTGACTTTTAAAGGAAAGATTTTATCCGGAAAATTCATGTTTTTTCGGGTTCCACAACCTCTAGGGAACCTGAATATATGCATACTTTTCAAATTTGAGGTCAGTTTCAAATTTTGACTTTCCGTGCTGAATTGGCTATTTGCTAACAAATGCAATATAGGCCCACACCTAACTTTTGAAGGGAAGGTCAGATCCGGAAAACACATGTTTTTCCGAATTCCGCAACTGGTGTGGAACCTGAATATATGGATATTATTTGAATTTCAGGTCAGTTTCAAATTTTAACTTTCCATGCTTAATTGGCTATTTGCCAACAAATGCGATATAGGCCCAGGCCTAACTTTTGAAAAAAAAGTCAGATCCGGAAAATACATGTTTTTCTCGGGTTCCCCAACCTATAGGGAACCTGAATATATGCATACTATTCGAATTTTAGGTCAATTTCAAATGTTGACTTTTCATGCTTAATTGGCTATTTGCAAATAAATGCGATATAGGCCCAGCCTAACTTTTGAAGGAACGTTGATCCGGAAAAATACAATTTTTTAGGAGTTCCCACAACCTCTAGGGAACCTGAATCTATGCAACTTTCCGAATTTGAGGTCAGTTTTGAAATTTTGAATTTCCATGCTCTCAATTGGGCGATTTGCCATCAATGCAATATAGGCCCAGGCCTAAGTTTTGAAAAAAAAGTCGGATCTGGAAAACACGTGTTTTTTCGGGTTCCCCAACTTGTAGGGAACCTAAATATATGCATAGTGTTCGAATTTGATGTCAGTTTCAAATTTTGACTTTTCATGCTTAGTTGGCTATTTGCAAACAAATGCGATATAGGCCCTGGCCTAACTTTTGAAGGGAAGCTCGGATCCGGAGAATACATGTTTTTTCGGATTCTGCAACTGGTGGAGAACCTTAATATGTGTATACTTTTCGAATTTGAGGTCAGTTTCAAATTTTGACTTTTCATGCTTAATTGACTATTTGCCAACAAATAGAATACAGGCCCAGGCCTAACTTTTGAAGGAAAGGTCGGATCTGGAAAATACATGTTTTTTCAGGTTCCCGAACAAGTAGAGAACTTGAATATATGCATACTATTCGAATTTGAGGTCAGTTTCAAATTTTGACTTTTCATGCTTAATTGGCTATTTGGCAACAATGCAATATAGGCCCAGGCCTAACTTTTGAAAAAAAAGTCGGGTCCGGAAAACACGTGTTTTTTCGGGTTCCCCAACCTATAGGGAACCTGAATATATGCATACTATTCGAATTTGAGATCAGTTTCAAATTTTTACTTTTCATGCTTAATTGGCTATTTGCCAACAAATGCGATATAGGCCCAGGCCTAACTTTTGAAGGAAAAGTCGGATCCGGAAAATACATGGTTTTTTCAGGTTCCCCAACCTATAGGGAACCTGAATATATACACAGTATTCGAATTTGAGATCAGTTTAAATTTTTACTTTTCATGCTTAATTGGCTATTTGCCAACAAATGCGATATAGGCCCAGACCTAACTTTTGAAAAAAAAGTCGGATCCGGAAAATACATGTTTTTCTCGGGTTCCCCAACCTATAGGGAACCTGAATATATGCATACTATTCAAATTTTAGGTCAATTTCAAATGTTGACTTTTCATGCTTAATTGGCTATTTGCAAATAAATGCGATATAGGCCCAGGCCTAACTATTGAAGGAAAGGTTGGATCCAGAAAATACATGTTTTTTCGGGTCCCCCAACCTCTAGGGAACCTGAATATATGCATACTTTTCAAATTTGAGGTCAGTTTCAAATTTTGACTTTTCATGCTTAATTGGCTATTTGCCAACAAATGCAATATAGGCCCAGGCCTAACTTTTGAAAAAAAAGTCAGATCTGGAAAACACGTGTTTTTTCGGGTTCCCCAACTTGTAGGGAACCTAAATATATGCATACTGTTCGAATTTGATGTCAGTTTGAAATTTTGACTTTTCATGCTTAGTTGGCTATTTGCAAACAAATGCGATATAGGCCCTGGCCTAACTTTTGAAGGGAAGTTCGGATCCGGAGAATACATGTTTTTTCGGATACCGCAACTGGTGGAGAACCTGAATATATGCATCCTTTTCGAATTTTAGATCAGTTTCAAATTTTGACTTTTCATGCTTAATTGGCTATTTGCCAACAAATGCAAAGTGGGCCCAGGCCTAACTTTTGAAGGAAAGATGGGATACGAAAAATACATGTTTTTTCGGGTTCCCCAACCTGTAGGGAACCTGAATATATGCATACTATTCGAATTTGAGGTTAATTTCAAATGTTGACTTTTCATGCTCAATTGGCTATTTGCCAACAAATGCAATATATGCCCACGCCTAACTTTTGAAGGGAAGGTCAGATCCGGAAAACACATGTTTTTCCGAATTCCGCAACTGGTGGGGAACTTGAATATATGGATACTATTCGAATTTCAGGTCAATTTCAAATTTTTTTCATGCTTAATTGGCTATTTGCCAAGAAATGCAAGGTGGGCGCAGGCCTAACTTTTGAAGGAAAGGTAGGATCTGGAAAACACATGTTTTTTTGGGTTCCCCAACCTATAGGGAACCTGAATATATGCTTACTATTCGAATTTGAGGTTAGGTTCAAATTTTGACTTTTCATGCTTAATTGGCTATTTGCCAACAAATGCGAAATAGTCCCAGGCCTAACTTTTGAAGGAAAGGTCAGATCCGGAGAATACATGTTTTTTCGGGTTCCCCAACCTGTAGAGAACCTGAATATATGCATAGTTTTCGAATTTGAGGTCAGTTTCAAAATTTGACTTTTCAAGCTTAATTCGCTATTTGCCAACAAATTCGATATAGGTCCAGGGCTAACTTTTGAAGGAAAGGTCAGATCCGAAAAATACATTTTTTTCGGGTACCGCAACATGTAGGGAACCTGTATATATGCATACTTTTCGAATTTGAGGTGAGTTTTCTTGTTGAAAAATGAAAGCTTTAAAAATATAAGGTCTTTTACAAAATTCCAAGGATGAAAGAGAGATTTTTATTTTTGCGCAAAAGTTTCAGAAGTGATTTAACAATCAACAAATTTCTGAACAAGGGGGAGGGTCTAAACTAAAGCTTTATAGGTTTCTTTTTCTCAGGAACAAAGGAGGCATAGATGGAATCTTACATTGTATATGGAATATTTTGTGTAACATTCAGATAGTTTCTCACACGTTAGCTCCATTTCTAATTGGTTCCAGACCACCATTTACTGTTTTCCCATGTCCCTGTGCATAGGAGGTCACCTACTGCTACACAAGATTCTGTTTTGTTTCTTGAGTAACATACATGTCCTACTAAGTTGGAATGAGAGCCCAATCACCATCTTTCCCACTTGTATAGGTTAAATTATTGTTTTTAGACATTTCCAGTACCTTGGTATAATTTAACTCTTGTGCTTCCCATGGCCACCTTTCTCCCATGTTTGTTGGCTATTAATGCTATTTCCTCCATGTCATGTTGCTGCTGTGTGCAAAAAGTGGTTTCAAGATAATCATATTCCACTGCTGGAATGGCCTGGGAATTGCCCAGACCTTAACCCAATTGAAAATCTATGGAGCCAACTAAAAAACGTTAGTCAGAAGCAACCCAGCAATAAATCACAATTAATAGAAGCAATAATTCAATCTTGGTTTCACATTATAACAGCTGCAGAACTAAAGGATTTGGTTCACTCCATGGGAAGATGTTGTAAGGCTGTAATTCATGCTAAAGGTTATCCAACTAAGTATTAACTGACATGGTGATAATTTTTGTATATCTCGTTTTTTTTCTGTGGTGATAATTTTTGAATACCTCATTTTTTCTATGGTGATAATTTTTGTATGTCTAGTTTTTTCTACGTTTCACTTTTCTTCTTTATAACTGGCATTTTAATAGCAAATCCTTCATAAAAGTTATCGCATTATATTCTTGATTAAATTATTTTTCCATTGATATATAATTTTATGGTACTACTCCAAAAAAAGTGGTGTCATTAGCCATCAAACCTCAAATATACACTTTTCCCAAAAGGTTTCCACAGTTTTGGCCACTACTGTAAGGGTTTAAATCTTATAATTCTTTGAAAAAACTATTAAACTATGGGTGTCTTTTAACTGTTTCATTTGTAGAAGCAAAGAGGACAACTCGGGTTTTGCGTGGTATTCTTAATTTTCTATTCTTCTGTAACTCACAGCGTGAAGTCTACTTGGAAATCCAGAGTGCACATGTAAGATTAATTTTTGTTTTTTCCTTGTCAGATCTTCAGAAATGATAACTCTGACAAATTGAGAATAGTGTATTGCAGAAAGTTTCTTCCAGCTTCTTGCATCTTTTGTTTCACATTACCTTTCTAGATGTTATTCTGTTACTCATTATGTGTGATGAAATGCATTTAATGATTTTTTTGGTGCCATTTTAGTAAACAGTTTAGCTACCCTTGTCTAGAATGTGCATGAGATTACCTTTTCCTTCTAGTTTCATTTCTATTAGTTTTTATTATATTAAATAAAAACTTCAATAGTACTTTTTTAAAAAAAAACAGTATATACTAGTTGGGCTTTTTACAAATTCAGCCAGTTCAACAAAAAGCCAAACTTTAGTATTTGTCAAATTCTAAATAATATTAAACTTATTTGATGATCTTGAGCTAACCTTTAACTTGTTCTGCAACCTTCCTGACAGATAAAAGTGCAAAAGAAAGTAAAAGAGTCATGTAGCTTTTTGGTGAAAGGATATATAAATCTGCAAGAAAAAGGGCCAAGTATAATCTGGATTCATTCCTTTTTTTCTTACATTGCAAAGCTGCTGCTGTCTCATCTTGCCTATAATATCAGTTATGTTTATTCTTAAAACTAAAAAATTGGATAACGAGATTATTAATGAAGGAGAATATTTGTAGTTCAGGGTTGAAATGAGGGGTCCTTGATGCTCTCTGAGCTTGCTTGTTTTCTTGAAGATGTTTCATTACCCTAACTAGGTAACATCATTAGTGCTAGTAAGGAGTGCTGTTGCTGTCAGTTTATATATTCTGGTGTCTTGCCTGTCTGTGTGAGTGGGGGTGATCTTAGGGATTTTTTGGTTGGGCTGTTTACTGATGGCTCTTTGGCAGTTTCTTGATTGGGATATTGCTTACTTGATTGTTGGTCTGAAGTTGACCTTGACCAGGCCAAATCCAAAAATGCTAGGGAATTTCTAGAAGCCTGGCACTCTGACAAATCAGCCATCAATAGACATATAGACATTAACAACATCCATAGGCTCTGCAAAAGAGACCGTTAACCAGCCCCAAAGAGAAAAAGATTCCAGCACCTCTCCATCAGTAATCAGCACTCGGATCAGCATAGATTAACTCCAAGGTCAACTTCAGACCAACAATCAAGTAAGCAATACCCCAATCAAGAAACTGCCAAAGAGCCATTAGTAAACAGCCCAACCAAAGAATCTCTAAGACCACCCCCACTCACACAGACAGGCAAGACACCAGAATATAAACTGACAGCAAACAGCATTCCTTAGTAGCCCTGATGATATTACCTAGTTAGGATAATGAAATATCTGCAAGAAAACAAGCAAGCTCAGAGACCACCAAGGACTCCTCAACTACATTACTATTTGGAATTCATCAATCATCTAGGCAACAGGTACTCAAGCAAAGATAATCCCACTTTTTAGAAGAATTATCCATATGCCATTCAAAAGAGATTATGAAACAAAAAGGGAACAAAAAGACCAAAATATTTCCTCATCAGGAATCAACCCCTAGAGGAGCAGAGAACACCAAGATTAACATTAGACTAATGATCAAGAAGCAAGCAGTACCCCAAATCCAGGAACTGCCAAACAAGCTAGCAGTAAACAGCCCAAGAAAATAACCATCAAGACCATTCTCCAGCACTGAAGATGGATAATCCACCAATGGGTTAACTTAATCCTCCTGCCCAATCAGATCAAGTCAGCCAAACTTGCCACGCCTGTCCTGGGCCTGTTTTTCCAGTCTCGACTTGATCTTGCCCAGAACAGACGTGCATGATTGGCTCACAGGCAGGTAGATCTTAACCTATTGGTGGATTATCTGTAGTCCTCTAATAACTTTAATATCTTCCAACAATTTCTAGTCCTCTGAGTAGCGCTGGGACCAGTGCTTCTCTAGTGGATTTTCCCTTCATCTGGTCCCCATTGGGATCCAGCAACAAATGGAGGCTTCCGTTTTTTTCCATTTCTCCCTTGCTCAGCACTAGAGGATTTTCCCTTCAGCTGAATCCCATTGGACTCCAGCAACAAACGGAGGCTTCCGTTTCTTTCCATTTCTCCCTTGCTCAGGACTGGGCTCAGTGCTGCTGCAAATCCCCCCCACTCCTTCCTACAGATCACCTCAGCCTCAGAACTTGCGGCTGCAGCTCCAACAGTCTTTTTGGCGACTGGATTAGCTCCGGAGAGGCTGCAGAGCCTCGTCTTCAACCGATCGCATACGACAATCTTTTTAAGATCCGGAACGCCGCGGATCAGCTAGGGAGGCCATTTTCTCGCCTGCCGCTTTCTCCTTCCGTGAGTAAGCTATTGGAGCCGAGGGGAGAGAACGGCGTTTGGGACGCGGCCACCATTTTGTGAGCCGTGTGGTCACTGCAAGTCCTTGCCGGCTGCACAGGGGGGAGGTGGAGGAAGTGATTCCTCCCCCCCATTCTACTTATCCACTGGTTTTAGCCATTTTATAGCCTCCTTAGGGGATCCAGTGATGTTGAAATCAGCTACCTGCATAATATTGCAGAGTCCCATCTTCCTACATTGTATCACAAGGAAGAAGACTCAGGCCTAGTCAGGAGCCCCAGCGGTTATGGCTGCCATCTTGGAGGCTTTGTCTTCCTCCCAAGGCTGCCATTTTGGAATATTCTCGTGCTCCAACTCAAGGCCTCACTGAGGCCTCCTCTGTCCAAGGCCCTTCCCAGGTTCTTCATAGCCAAGGATTGCCTGGGTTTTTTTTTTCTCTCTGGTCATCCTTAGAGACTCCCCTTGTGGCATTTGGATTTCCTCTTTCATTCCTTGGCATAGGCCCAACAGATTTCATTGGGCCTTCTGGTGTCTCAAGTCCTGGTCACCATTTGGCTAGCTGATTAACACAGCAGTTCCTAGCCTCTGACTCTGTATTAGTTGCCATCTTTTATATTGCTGGCCTGGCAACACAGCAAGCCTCACTAGCAGGCCGCAATCCACCCTCTGAGGGAAATTACAGTGGCTGCTAGTTGAACCAGTCTTTTGGATACCTCTGGTTCAATGACCGGGGGGGGGGTAGGGCAAGTCTTATTCCAGCCGTTGCCCTACACCCTTATCAGCCAATTGATCCTTTTCCCAGGGGTACCTTCTTGTGCGCCTGAAGTTTTATACCAGCATGGAGAATAACATGGCCTCCCAATCCAAGGGCTCCTCCCCTCCTTCCTCCGTCCAGAAAAGACACAGGTCCCCTAGCCAAGAGGCTGCTGGTAGGATCTCAGCCAAGGTCAAACCCAAGGCTGTCTCTGGGGGCAAAACCTCCAAATTGGCTGAAAAACAGGCCAGCAGGAGATACCAGGCACTGGAAAAAGAGTTTTCAAAGGCTCAAAAACAGGCCAGGGCCGAGACTGCTCAGTCTGAATCCACTTTTTTCGATTACCTCTCGGTCTCTCCTCTTCTGCTTAGGAAGTCTGGTCACTGGCAGAGCCTACTACTTCCTCTGGCCAGACCGTTCTTGAGCCTGACGCATATACATTCAGGTCTCTGATCACCCCACGGGTCCAGTAGGCCCCAGAAGCCACCTTCACGTGCACGGCCGCAGGGCTCAGAGAGGAGGAGGCCACCCTTTCTCCCCTAGAAGATAGACTCCAAGTCCTGGTGGCTCAGGCGGTGGAGCGGGCTCTTGCGACCAGGACTCCACCGGTGCATAGGGCGGATTCCTTGCTTTCCCTCCCTCTCTCTCGCCCAGCTCATCAGAGCTCTCACGATCCTCCTCCCCTCTCCCATTCTTCATATAGCGGGGTCTCATTAACCCCAGAGCAGGATCAGGTGCTTGACGCCTCGTGGTCGGAGGAGGAGGAGGAATCGGCCCCGGATCCGCTCCCATTTGGAGGTCTATTTAATCCATCTCTCTTTCTACCTCTACTTCGCAAGGCTAGTTCTGCAGCGCACATGGGACCTGACCGGTCCACTCCAGCGGCAGCTGCAACGGATTCTGAGGCGGACCCTGTATTCAGACCCCTCACTCAGATGGTGGATTTCTCCCGCCATGGCCAGAGGGTCTCTCTTCAAAGAGCCTGGTCGCCTCACGATCACGACGGATGCCAGCCTGTTTGGCTGGGGAGCACACTATCAGTCACAGTGAGCCCAGGGGCGATAGTCTCGGTCAGATCTGAGGCACAATATCAGTTGGCTGGCCATACATCTAGCCCTTCGTCATTTCCGTCACAGCATTGCGAGACAGCATGTGTTAGTCCTCGCGGACATGGCGGCAAAGGCCCATGTGAACCGGCAGGGGGGCACCCGATCCCATGCCCTCCTGACCGAGGCCCAACTGCTGGGTTCCTGGGCAGAGGCCAACCTCGCCTCGATCAGGGCAGACCACATCTTGGGAGAGGCAAACAAAAGGGCAGACTTTCTGAGCAGGTCAATCGTGGACCACTCAGAATGGCATCTGCACCCGAATTTATTCAGGGAAATCACCCACAGATTTGGTCTCCCCATCATAGATCTGTTTGCCTCTCAGGCAAACACACAACTCCCGCGATTCTTCTTGCGCTTCCCAACTCAAGGAGCAGAGAAAGTAGATGCCCTTCAGGTTCCATGGCCGGAGAGTCTCCTCTATGACTTTCCCCCTCTCCCTCTTCTCCCAGCGGTCATCCGCAAGCTTCTGCAAGAGAGGGCAGACGTTCTCTTGATAGCCCCTTACTGGCCACGGAGACCTTGGTTCGCCGACCTCGTTGGTCTCTCCCTGTCGCGTCCTTGGAAACTTCCTCCAGACCAGGTATCACTAACCCAGGGTGATCTGATTCACCCAGACCCTCAATGGCTCCAGTTAGCCGTATGGCACTTGAGCGTTGGTTCCTATCCAGGGAGTCCTGTTCGCCAGGGGTCATTGTCATAATTCAGGCATCTCGTCGACCGGCTACCAATCGCATCTACGATGCCACGTGGCAGAATTTTTACTGGTGGTGTTCCACTCACCACTTGCCTCTATCGGAATTGACCATTCCAAATATTTTAGACTACTTACTCGAGGGTCTGAATAAGGGATTAGCGCCTAACACATTACACAGACAGGTGGCAGCCATATCTACATTGATTACCTGCGACACTCACTGTTAGTTCTCTGGGCCAACATCCCTTGATGCGTTCCTTCCTCAAGGGCACAACTAATACCAGGCCTCCTGTAGTCCACAGGTATCCCTCGTGGGAATTACCTTTGGTTCTTCAGGCTCTCACAAAAGCTCCTTTCGAACTCCTCAGTTCATGCAACATGAGATCCTTATCCCTCAAGGTAGCCATCACTTCAGCCAGACGTATTTCTGAGATGGCAGCCCTTTCAGTCAGGGATGATTTGTGTATTTTTCACCTGGACCATGTTACCCTTCGTTTAGACCCCACCTTTGTTCTCAAAGTCAACTCTCATTTTCATAGGGCTCAGGATATTGTTCTCCCTGATTTCTGCCCTAATCCTTCCCATGATCTGGAACATCAATGGCATTCCCTGGATGTACACTGGGCTCTCCGTTGTTATATCAAGCGGAGGGCTCTCTTCTGCAACTCTGAGGCACTTTTTGTCTCATTCCACCCTTCTTCAAAGGGTCGGAAGGTCTCAGCCTCCACAATCGGCCGGTGGATAAGAGCCTGCATTGCGGGGGCGTACCAGTCTGATTCCTTGCCAATTCCATGTCGTTTCACCACCCACTCCACGCGTAGTGCAGCCACATCTGCAGCTTGGGCCACGCAGGCTTCCATTGAGGAGGTGTGTGGTCTTCCGGCATTACAAGCTGGACAGGCACGCATCCGCCAAGGCTGCCTTTGGCAGAAGGGTCCTGCAACAGGTGGTGCCCCGTGACATGGTTCCAAACTTGCCCGCTTCCCTCCCGTAAGGACAGTGGGCTTTGGTATGTCCCACTGGTGGATTATCCATCTCCAGTGCTGGAGAAGGGGCGTTGTCTTACCTGAACGCCATTTCTCAGCACGGAGATGGATAATCCACACCCACCCATTTAGGTCCTTAGGCCTAGGGTTAGTTCTGTGAGCCAACACATCATGCTGTCAATCAGTAGCTGTGCCCTCATCGAGACTGGGAAAACAGGCCCAGGACAGGCGGGGCAAGTTTGGCTGACTTGATCTGATTGGGCAGGAGGATTAAGTTAACCCATTGGTGGATTATCCATCTCCGTGCTGAGAAATGGTATTCAGGTAAGACAATGCCCCCTCTCACCAATACTGACAGAGCAAGCCACTAGAATATAAAACAAGAGCAAACCACTCACCACTAGCACTGATGATGGTACCTAGTTTGGGTAAAGAAATGTCTGCAAGAAAACAACCAAGCTCAAAGAGCACCAAGGACCTCTCACTTCAATCCTGAGCTACAAATATTCTCTAAAAGTTAAATTACTTTGCTGAAAGTTCTCCTATCCTCACGTTTAAAGAACATTCATCTGCTTAATACTCTGGCCTGCTGAAGAAAAAAAAGCTTTTTGAGATGTGGATCTGCTGTTATTAAAAAAGTGACATTTCTCTCCCTTTTCTGTCTAGTTTAATTAATCACGGAGACACTATATCTTGCTTTCATGTATCTGTAGCCAATATTGTCAGTTCAAACTTTGTGGCAAAACCTGGAGCTTTTACTGCCTGATTTGTAGCTCAGCATAAATGTATTAAATAAGGATGTACTCTGACCAGTATAATTTCATTTTATAGTCAGTTGCAATTTTTCTATAATATGTTGAATTGCATATAATGTAAATTCTTTTTCAAAGAAAACATCAATGGAGAAAGAGCAACAACTTCAGGTGGCAATCCAGGATGCAACACTGAAGCTTGAAAAGATGGAGTAAGATAACTTGAATAAGTTCCCCATATTAAAATTATTAAGAATCAGTTCATAGGACTGAAGAACCTTCTATCGGGCATAGAATTTGTAATCTCATTTTGAAGAATGCATATCTGAATTCTGCTTAATATGCTTTTCACATGGATTCTCTTGTTAATGGCATTTGAATCAAAGATTTGCCATAGCATGTTGTTACAGGGAGTGTTGTAAATTGACTCTGGATGTTCAGTGCTTAAGACTGTTGATAAACAGATGCTGCTAGGGAGTTCTTTTGAAGTACTTCTCATAAGGAAATTTGGGGGACAGTCCTTCAATAGGTTTGTTCTTTGTTACTTCTTGTCACTTATGGGAGATTATATTTATCTGTAGTAAGCGTTATAATATGAAATTAAAGCCTGCATGACATGATGAGTCAGGACATGGTCGGAGAAAGGAAATAGTGATTTCTTTCTATGTTTTCTCAAATTTAATTTATTTCTTCCAAGGAGAAAGTCACTAAGATTTCTTCTCCTCCAGTTTTTCCATTACATATACTTATGGTCTTTCTGCTCATACCTCTTAATGGATAAGGAAAAAAAGAAGAGCTCCTTATTTGTGTGTGTGTGTGTGTGTGTTTGATTCCCAATGGAAAGCATGGTTGAAATGTTTTGGGAAGGACACATTCTCACAATGGCTCATTGGAACCAAATTGGTTCTGTTTCTATAATATAGCCTCAACATTATAGGGATTTGATTTCAGTTAAAAAAGGAATAAGATTGTGCTTTTCTTGGGCCAAGTTCCTGGAGCTCCAGTATGGTGGTCTCCCATGGAAAATGAGACACGCATGCAGGTATCTTGGGATGGGAGCCCAGAGCTGACTCCAACACCCTCTTTTATTGTTACTATGGTTTTTACATCACACAGCGTAAGCAAAAGACGTATATAGGGGTGGTTACAATGTATCGCATAACAGACACTCTCCAGATGCAAGGCTACGCAGGTGTTCTTATCAGACTCTATCCAAATGGCTGATAAATGTATCCTGTCTCTGGAGCAGTCCGTTTGTTATCTCAAGGCCTTTGTGGGAGCATTTCTATGGGTATATTTGTGCAATTAATCCCACACTCCAGTCACCATTTTAGGTGCAAATAACAATTGAGTTCCTTGCCTAGATGTGGCTTGGGGTCATGTGTTTCTTTGTGTTATCATATTGGTTTACCTCCCCTGCTATTTTCATGCAAGATCTTTAAATTTCATCCTCTCCAAATTAAGATTTTTTTAAATCTTGTGTATTGAATTGAAATTGTCTAAGCAAATATCTATAGAAAATTGTTTTATATACATATCTAAAATTTTACATTAAATATTATATTATTGCAGAACTTAAGATTGCCAAATAGCTTCATCAAAAAGAAGCAGCTTTTTCTGTATGCTATATTTATATGTCAAATTCATTTTTCTCTAAACTGAGCACTATTTCTATATACTCAGTATTATTCCTTCAGACCAACAAGTAGAATTCAAGGAGCTGTCTCAAGAAATTCAAGAACTACAGAATAAACTCAACCAAGAATATCGGCAGAAAACAGTATGTGTTCTTCTTACTAAAGTTCATGTGATGTCCAGAAGCTATGCTATGTTTAGCTGTCCATTACATAACAGCTTAAGAGAAGTTATAAAATATATACAGGTAGACCTTGACTTATGACAAGTCTATTGGACTTATGACAAGACTATTGGAAGTGATGTTGGACCTAGATTTGAAGTAACGATGGTTGCAACACCCCCTCCCTAATTGCATTTATAGTTGTAGGCAGCATTTTGTGACCACAAAGCTTTTGCCAAAACTTGGCATTTACTTTTGGTTTTCAAAAAACTGTGACCCTATTGCAGGGCTTTTAACTGGTGGTATGATTACCTCTTGTGGTACTTTGGCAGGTGGTACGCGACCGTCCTAGAGAAGTGTAGTGGGGGAGGAGGGGAATGAACCAAAGCAACCCAAGCCTGAGGGAGAGGCAGCTGCAGCTGCAGGAGTATCTGAGCTTGGCAGAAGCCCCAGGAGCCAGCAGGGCTCCAGCTAATTGGCGCTTCTGGAAGCAGTGCGGAGCTGAAGGTGAACTGAAGAAAAGGGGGAAAGGAGAGGCTATAAAAGGAGGTTTGGGCGGGAAAGGAAAAAAAACAACATAGAAAGAGAAGGAGAGCTCAGCAGGCAGGCAGGGAAACAGGGACAGGGAAGAAACAACAGCTGTTGCTGGAAGAAAATGCCCCCTGGTTCATTTTTTCCAGCCGAGAGAATGCAATCAGTGCTGCTGAAATGAAAAGCCAGCAGACAAGCATGTCAGAAATGACGTGGGTTTATTTAGTTCTGGATCAGCTGGCAGCTTGATTGGGTTGCCATAAGGATTTTTCTACAGTTTTTACAGTGTTTTTGTAATTCCGAGGCTTGGTTTGTGTGCTTTGGTTATTGGAATATTTTAGTCTGTTTTTTAGGCTAGCAATGAATCCAAAGTGTTGACTTCCATATGTTTAATCCCTTTAAACAAATGTAATTAGTTTTACCCCCTTATCTTGAGTCTGTCTATGACAGGCATGTCAAACTCGCAACATCGCGTGGCGTATTGCAACTTTTTCCCCAGTGCCGGCAATGGGGTGGCCGCAGTGTTTTGTTTTTTTTAAGTTTTTATTTTCCATTTATTCAATTTTCCATTTATTCCATTTTGTATACAACATACAAAATACAATTTACAAAATGAAATAAATTCATGACCATTGGTACCGCCTGCCCATTCCCCCCAGGCTGCGTCCACCCTCTCTAAACTTTCCCTACTTCCCTCCTCTTTCTTTCCTCCCCTCCTACTCTCTCCCCTCCCCTTCTCCTCTTACCATCCTACTTCCTCCCTACACCTTCCTCCCCTCTCATCCCTCTCAGACACATTGACGCAGCATAGGGGAAATGCCCAAGCAGCACCTCTCCCATAAACTACCATATCTATATTATCCTTACCCACCCACTCACCCACCCACCCTCAACCCTCCCCCCCTCACTTCCCAGAGCAGAGTACAGGGTTATTAATAACAAAGTTAACAATAAAAAGAAAAGAAAAAAGAAAGAGAAAAAAATACATATCATACTTAACCTTTAACTCCCAGAATTCCTCAACCAGCCATAATGGCTGAAGAATTTTGGGAGTTGAAGTCCACAAGTCTTAAAAGTCTTGAAGACCCCTGAGCAGCTGGTAGTGGTGCATATTAATAAACATGGATAAATTCATCATACATTTGTCAATGCAAGGGGAAAGTGATTCAGCAAAGGAACCGCCACTGAAGAAATTAAAACTCGTACTTTTTCCCTTTTTTTCTACAGTTTGTAATATTTTATTAGATTATAGCAGTGGTTCTCAACCTTTTTAATGCCACGACCCCCAACCGGTCGTAAGTCGAGGACTACTCAACCGGTCGTAAGTCGAGGACTACTCAACTGGTGCAGCACCGTTTGCAGAATGGGACTTTTGGCGGGCTCAGCAGGGCAGAGACAGCCTGGACAATTCCTATTGGCTTTTGAAAGCCAACAGAATTAGACTCTATTCAAGAGAGTCTATTCTATTGGCTTTCAAAAGCCGATAGAATAAAAGGGAGTAGCACAACTAAGGAAAAGGGGGAAAAAATGGCGGACTGCATTGTTTGGTGACTCCCATGAAATGGTCGTTCGACCCCAAGTGGGGTCCTGACCCACAGGTTGAGAACCACTGGATTATAGAATAAAATGCAAAAATACAAAAGCAAATAATAGGACACAGTGGGGAGGAAAAAGGGGGGGAAAGTGAGGGGGAGAAAAAGGACATACTTCCTCTGTTGCAGTAGAAGGAAGCATTAACATTGAACCTCAACTTTTTGTTTTTCCATAATATTATAAACTAGCCATTTCTATAACAACAAATGAATCTAATCAGTAAAATCCAAAATCCCGCGCCCCCCCCCTTTTTTTTTAGTTATCAAATTTTTGACACCTTGCTAAGTACTGGTGGTACTCAAATATTGTCATGTCCTAAAAATGATACAATCTGCGAAAAGGTTGAAAAGCCCTGTCCTAGTGAATCATTGGTTTGCTTAATGACCGTGGGATTTCCTTAATGGCTGCTCCAAAAAACTGGTAAAATTTTATGATCATGTAGTGGTCATTATCATTAAAGATGTATATGGTGTAGCACCATGACATATTACACAACATTTTGGCAGGATTGAAACTGTCTATTCATTTGAGTCATCTAGATTTCCCATTCCTGTAGCAGCTACATTTTCTGAAATTCTGTCTTCCCACACTATACCTTGTTAATATTCTGTAAGCAAGCTATATTGTTTTAGCAATCTTTTGGTCCCTAGATCCTCAGTAGGCATATTTATCCTTTATTGTTGGAATATTCATGAGCAGGAAGAGTCATGTGGTAACTCAGTCAGCCAATGTGAAGAAAGTGCTACTGAGTCTGTGCAAAAGAGTATTGAGTTAGGAGCTGGATTTCCAGTCTCAGGTCTGTCTCTGTATCTCTCTGGAAGAAGTCTTCAATTGAGCTATGTTGCTGTAAAGAAGAATGTATGGTATTGTAAATATTTTTATATGAATATAAAGAAGTTATTTTGAATCAGCTAAATGCAGTCAACTGTGAGAGCTTCTGATTTATTTTTTCACCAATAGAGAAATTAAAATTCTCTAACAGGTTATGGGCCCAGAGCTTACTAAGGACTGCATTGTAATTTAAAGCTGGAAGAAATTGCCTGTGTTTAGAAAGTATAAGAACAAGGCAGAATTAGCAGAATGGCTGCAATGGAATTTAAGAAAAGCTGTGTGCCTCGTTTGGGCAAGAAGAATTACATTGTGTGGGCTGCAAAAATGGAATGTTTGCTGAAAGCTAAAGAGCTGTGGTATATTGTAGAAAATCCACCACAAGTATTTGCAGCTGTTGATCAGAAAAGTCATGATCAATGACTTATCTCATCTTGAATTTAGATGATGAACAATTTCTAAATGTTCCAAATTTAAAAACTGCAAAGGAGATTTGGTTAAAGTTGAGAGCTATGCACGTGAATGTTTCTGCATGCAATATAGTGCAATTGTCAAGAAAACTTTACAGGGCCTGTTTGCAACCAGGTGATCTGTGGAATAGCATTTAAATAAAATGCAAAGTTTATTTTTGGACTTATAACAACGTGGGATTAAATTCCCTGAGTCCCAGAAGGTTTTATTGGTGTTGAACAGTTTAGATAAAACCTGGGACACAGTTTCTGCCATATTTGAGTGTAAAGAAGAGCAAGACTTAAATTTTGAGGCTTTAAAGGCATGTTTGCTTAATGAACAAAAAAAGCGCCATTTTAAAAGCAGTCACGAGGAGGTGAAATTCCTGAGGAGGGGGTCCAGACTGCAAGTCTCCGAAGAAGAAACATTTTGCAGGCAGAGAGCTAAGCAAGAAAAGAATTGCTACATTTGTGGAGCAAACAACCATCTGAAAAGGAACTGTTTGCAAAGAAACAATTTGCAGCAAAGGACATTTGTACAACCAAAAAGGACTGCTTTGCAAAAGGAACATTTTGGTGTTGCAAAAGTTTGCTATAGCAACAACAGAGACAAGTGGCTAATAGATAGTGGGGCAAGTCAAACAATTGTTAATGACTCTGAATTATTTTGCAGGTTTGTTCCAATAGCACAAGTAGCTATGGCTTTGGCAAATGGCCAGAAAGCAAAAGTCATTGGAAGAGGTGATGTAAAAATTCCATATTTGGAATCAAAGTTTACCAATGTGCTTTGTGTACCTGAGGTGGAACATAATTTGTTAAGTGTGTCTAATTTAGACAAACAAGGTTTTGAGATCATTTTTGTAAATGGAAATTGTCTCATCAAAAGGAATGGGAATATTTGTGCAGAAGGTATAAAGGACGATAATCTATATGTATTGCAGGGACAAAAGGTTCAATGTTCCCATATATTTAAGAATGTTGCAGAGCATGATTCATGTGTTCATCTTCTACATAGAAGATTTGGCCATGCAAGCTTTAAGTTTTGCAGCAAATGCAAGATTTTGCAGAAGGGCTAATTGAAGGGATGCAAAACATATTTGGACTGTGCAGTATGCAAAGCATCGAAGTCAAAGGCATTCCCAGTTAGTAAATATAGCACAAGACAAACAAAAAAAGCTCTAGAGCTGGTCCATGCAGATCTGGTGGGACCTATGCAAGCCAGTTTGGGAGGAGCAAAATATGCACTGATAATTGTTGATGATTATAGCAGGTATTCGTTTTGCTACTTGCTTAGAGATAAGACAGAGGTGCTACAACAATTCAAACAGTGGGTAAGTTTTGTAGAGAAGGTACAGACAACAAGTGTGTCAGTTACAAACTGACAGAGGTACTGAATTTATGTCAACTAAATTCCACCAATGGTTGGGGCAGTTGGGGATATTACACAGACGTACAAATCCTTACACAGCAGCAGAGAATGGTGTAGCTGAAAGAAGGAATGGTGTTTTGCAAACAATGAAAGATTCATTATTAGAGGATTCTGGTATGAGCAGGTCATATTGGGGAGAAGCCATATTGACTGCAAATTATATAGTTAACAGGCTGTGGAGTTCCTCCATTAATAATACTCCATATGCCATTCTATATGGGAGTAAGCCATCACTGGCACATTTGAGAATTTTTGGAAGTACTGCATGGGTACATATTCCAAAAGCAATCAGAAGAAAGGGACAGCAAAAGGCAAGAAAGCTCAAGTTTGTGGGCTATGAGCCAAGGTCAAAAGGATATCGCTTTAGCGATGGAAGTAAAAGAATTATAATTTCAAGGTCTGCTAATTTTGCAGAACAAAATTGGGACAGAATTAATGCAAATTCTGGGTATGTCTCACTTAATGATGGTGATCTATTTAGTGACAATAACTCATCTAATGATGGAAAAATCATTATTGAAGATGTCGATGTTCAGGGAGGAGAGGCTGAACAAGACATGAAGCCAGATAGAATTGAGACACAGGAGCAGTTAATGCCACGTAGGTCAGAGCGATGTAACAAAGGAATTCCACCTGACAGGTATTCTGCCAGCAAGGTAAAGGTTTGCAATGTGTGGTATGAGCCAAGAAGTTATAAAGAGGTGTTGGCATTACCAAAAGCTGAACAAGAAAAATGGAAGGAGGCCATGCATAAAGAGATGAAATCCATGGGAGACCATGAAGTATTTAAATCAGTGACTTTGCCACAGGAAACCAAAGCTGTGGATTGTAAGTGGGTATATAAGAAAAAGGTATTGCCAAATAATGATGTACAGTTGTTGCAAGATTTAAATATTAATGTAAAAGAATCTGTAAAGGTATTTGAAGACAATGCTGCCTGTATAAAAATGGCAACTGGTGATAGGGTGAAGAACAGAAGTAAACATGTAGACATTAAGTATTGTTATGTCAGGGAAGCTGTAAAAGGAAAATTGATTAGTTTACATCATTGTTCTTCTGAGGATAATTTGGCAGACATGATGACTAAGCCATTGGGTAGTATTCACTATGGAGAATGTATTAATAGGTCTGATGTCTCTTCCTGTCATGAAGGGAGGAGTGTTCGAATATTCATGAGCAGGAAGAGTCATGTGGTAACTCAGTCAGCCAATGTGAAGAAAGTGCTACTGAGTCTGTGCAAAAGAGTATTGAGTTAGGAGCTGGATTTCCAATCTCAGGTCTGTCTCTGTATCTCTCTGGAAGAAGTCTTCAATTGAGGTATGTTGCTGTAAAGAAGAATGTATGGTATTGTAAATATTTTTATATGAATATAAAGAAGTTGTTTTGAATCAGCTAAATGCAGTCAACTGTGAGAGCTTCTGATTTATTTTTTCACCAATAGAGAAATTAAAATTCTCTAACATTTATATTTAAAGTTTGGATGTTATAATTCAATATTTTGATTTTGTCTATTGCTATTTGCCACTTAAAATCTTCTGGGATTGGGACAAATTATAAGCATTGCAAATAAGTTTTCTTAATTGTCATGCAATTTTTTTTGTAGAATGTTTTGCAAGAAGTGATCCACCAAAAAAGAATGAAAATTGCAGAAAAAAATCAAAATTTAGTAAGTAACATTCATGCAAAGTTCAGTAATTGTAAGAATCTAATTACAAAAGCTTGTAAGATTCAGTATATGCTTATCCATAATAGTTTACATACCATATAATGTGAGTGTCGTGGTTCCAACAGATGAAACTCTTCGAAGAACTTCGGGGCATTGTTTACCTTATCATCTCTTATTTCAAAAAAACCTTGGTTCTCATCCTAGTTACAGTATTGTTATGTCTAACTAAACTCCCATGATCATTCCTCCTCCTCCCTCCCAGTATCATCTAATTCTAACTCTAATTCTAAGAGTAAAAAATAAGAAGGAAAATGGCTGCATCTCCATGTTGTCAAAGCAAGAACATTCAATGTTTGCATCATTGACATCTGGCCCCCCTTACAAAAAGGACAGATCTTGTAACGTAAACAAAGGCATATGTTAGGGACTGTCTCTTAGTTTGTTACGGTGTTTCCTATAGAACCTTTTGATGAGACTGTCGGCTTTCACATCGCTAGCTTTCACCCAAGTGGCTTCAGACAGTGAGTATCCCTTCCATTGTACTAGGTACTGCAATTTCCCTTTAAAAATTCAAAAATCAAGAATACGCTTTACTTCATAGTGAGTCTGACCCGCTACCACAAGGGGTCCGGGTGCCTTCTTAAGGGGAGATCTTAAAATGGAGCCCTGAAAAGGTTTCAACAAGGTGCAATGGAAGACAGGGTGCACTCTCCCTAAAAGCCTAGGGAGTTTTAATTCTACTGTGACCAGGTTAATGATCTTTATGATGGGGAAAGGCCCCAAGAATTTTAGTCCTAATTTCTTGCTGAGTAATTTGAGGCGCAAATATTTAATCGACAGATAAACCTTTTCCCCAACTTGGAATGTTCTTTGAGGAGCCTTCTTTTTATCTGCCTGATTTTTATAGGTCTCGGAAGTCTTTTTTAAAGCAGTCTTCGTGGCTCTCCAAACTTCTTCCCACCCCCTCACCCATTGAATAAGTGTCTGAGAAGCGGAGGGCACTTGAGGGTGTTCAGGTATCGGGCTGAACTCTTTTCCTGTGGCTACTCTGAAAGGTGTGAAGCCAGTGCTGCTATGAACAGAGTTATTGTAAGCCACCTCTGTAAAAGGGAGGAGATCGGTCCAGTCAGTCTGTTGGTAGGAAATATAGCACCTGAGATATTGCTCCACCATCTTGTTGGCGGCTTCCGCAGCCCCATTACTAGACGGGTGAAAAGCAGATGATAGACTTTGAGATGATATAATTAATTTATGAAAGCTCCTCCAAAACTTAGCTGTGAACTGTACCCCCCTGTCCGAAATTATTAATTTAGGGGCTCCATGCAGCTGGTAGATATGTTTCAAGAACAGTTTAGTCAGTCGTTGGACAGACAGGAGTCCTTTGCAGGCGATGAAGTGGGCCTGCTTTGAAAACAGGTCTATCATAGTCCAGATGTCTGTATGGCCTCTACTTTCAGGGAGGTCTACTATAAAGTCCATAGCAATTTCTTCCCATGGTTGAGAAGGGTCCGCCACTGGCTGCAGTAACCCAGGGGGGTCTTCCTTGAATTCTTTTCATGGTGGCACATACAGTACAACTCCTGACATAATTTTCCACATCCCGTTTTAACCCCAGCCACCAGAACTCTCGGCGGATGAGATGTAGAATTTTTAAATAACCAGTGTCCAGCCTGTTTTACGTCATGGCTGTGTTTGAGAGTGTTAAGAAGAAGGGCTTCTGGCAAGTACAATTTCTCCCTCCCCCCTTGTATGCCAAACTATCCCTGCATGTTAGGGAGGTTTGATTGTCCCTGAACCATTGATCAGTGAGGAGCTCTTGTTTTATTTTCTTTGCCCCAGGGTCATCAGGATTAGGGGCCCTACAAGGCATAAATTGAGCAGCAGTTTGTGGATTGGAGATAATTGTCTCATTAATCTCTTTGCGCTTGCTTTTGTATGGGCAGTCTGATTAGAGCAGCGGTTCTCAACCTATGGGTCGCGACCCCATTTGGGGTCGATCGACCATTTCTCGGGGGTCGCCAAACAAGGCGATCCGCCATTTTTCCCCCTCAGGGGGCGGCGCCGCGCATGTGCGCCGCGCATGGGGGCGGCACCATGCATGCGCGCCACGCATGGGGTGGCACCGTGCATGCGCGGTGCACATGCGTGGCGCGTTTGTGTGATGGTGGTCGCCGTCACACAAACGTTGAGAACCACTGGATTAGAGCATCGGCTAGGAAGTTTTTCCCTCCTGGAATGTACTTTAGAGTGAAGTGAAAACGATTAAAATCCTTTAGTGGGGGGGGTTTCAAACTCACAGCATTCAGACCCTTATAATCCATGCAGAGATGAAGAGACCCATCTTTTTTTTCTTTAAACAACACGGGCTCCCACAGCAGACTTGAACCCCTCTCTAGGTTTTTGTCCACGTATCGCTGCATCTCCATTTCGAGGGGGGTCATAGCGTATATTCTCAGTCGTGGGAGTTTGGCTCCTGGCAACAGTTCGATGGAGCAATCATTGGGTCGGTGGGGAGGCAGGGTGTCGCATTCCTTCTCACTAAATGCCTCCACTAGGTCCCGGTACTTCCTGGGGATGAGTGGCTCGCCTGGTGGCAGTGAGGCAGCCAAGTGCGCTTGCTCGTTGGGTGGGTTAAAGTTCCCTTTAACGTTTGTTGAATAAATGGGGGGCTTATTCCCTTATTCCACAGTCCTTATTCCTTCTCCCACCAAATAAACGGCTTCCATTTGTCCAGCCAGGCTAATCCTAGGATCACAGCCTCAGTCGTTTTTGGAGTCACCAGGAAGCGAATGAACTCCCAGTGCTCATCTATTTCTAAGCGTAGAGGCTCAGTTAATTGCGTGAATAAAGTCCCTCCCATCAGAAAGTCATCGGCTTGCTCAAACCTCAGGGGTTTGGAGAGCAGTTTTGCTCGTGTGCCCATTTTCATGGCAAATGGCAAGCTAATGACACACCGGGAGCATCGAGAATCGACTAGCACTTTTAAATCTACCTGTGCCCCCGTCTTAGGGATTATGAGTTTGGCAGGTAGAGAGAAAGGTGGGATGTGTTGACTCACCATTGCTGTTGAAAGAGAGTGGAGCAGGGGCAGATCCAGCCTAAGTCCCAGCATCCTCCTGTGTGGGTGATGTGAATTGGGCAACAGGTTCCTGTATGATCCAGTTGGATTTCTCTCTCGTTGGCTGCTGGGCAGGTTTTTTTTCCGTTGCTAGTCCCGATCTGTTCTGCTGTTGGGAGTAGGGGACTGGGCAATTTGGTGCTCGATGTCCGTGCTGTCCGCATCGGCGGGCCTGCATGTGGCCTGGGACTTTCACCAGCCGCAGCAGTTGGAGGTTTTCTGGGGGGTGGTTGCCACTTTGGTTACTCTGGCCTCAACTCGGCTTCAGGTGGGGGAATCTTCCTATAGTGCAGTGCTTCTCAAATAGTGGGGCGGGCCCCCCAGGGGGGCGCGAGGCTCCGTAAAGGGGGGCTCGTTTGACCTCGGCAAATACTGTCATATTGGACGCACGTGACACACACAAAGGACCCAATTGGATAGACAGTCGCGCAGGGGGGCGCGAAATGTTTTCTTCTTCCTAGGGGGGCATGACAGAAAATAATTGAGAAGCACTGCTATAGTGGGTGAGCTGAACATCTAGCCTTACCGCTGTCTGGTACCATTCCTGCAGCTGATCAAGTACTGCTTGATAGATGCAGGCCTGAGAGAGGTAATCGTCTAATCCTTCTTTCAAGTGATTAGACTAGGGACTGCTCAGGCCACCTCTCTATCTGACCAGCTGTCTTGCAAAACTCTCGCACGTACTTCAAAGCAGGCCTGCCGGCTTGCTTTATCTTATGATATGTTCTGCTTTGAGGGCAATGGATGGGTCCTCAAACCTTGCTCTCAATCCTAGGAGGAAGAGATGGGGGTCCTCCAATTCGGGGGCTTGCTCATCATATAAATTATTCAGCCATCCGGATGCCTCTAAGCTGGACGCAATCACGTTGACCATAGCAGCTGGGTCCGGGTAGAGATAGGCACAGTGGTTCAAATGAGAGCGCACTTGGTTGAGAAAAGAAAATCAGCTTCTCTGGGTCCCCATCAAAGGTTGCTCTATAAGGTGGAGCAATCAATGGTTGCTAGCCCCCCCCCCACTGTGGCTATTGCACCCCAGTTGCTGCTCACCCCACCCTGGCAGCTGCCGCATTCCCAGTGGTTGTATGTTCGGGGGCTGTTGCCACCCCTCCTGCTGTTGCTGCATTACCGGCAGCAGTGGCATACTCAGTTGCTGTAGGCCCCCCTGCATTCCCCCTAGTGCTGGTTAGCAGGGAGCTATGGCATCCTCGGTTGCTGTAGGCCTCCCTGCAGCCTTGGAGGGGGTTGTTGCTGGATCCCTATCATTTGTGGGCCCCTCAGTAGTTGCTGTATGTTCAGGGGCGGCGACCAACCCCCTTGCTGCAACCATCCTCCTACCGGTTGCTGGTCTTCTGGCCTCTGCATCACCCCAAGTTGTTGCAAGGCCTCTATTAGCTGCTGCAAACTCAGGGGCTGTGACCACCCCAACTGCTGTTGCCTTGGCAGTGACTGCTGACCTCCCACCTGCGGGGGCTGCCATATTCCCCATTGCTGCAGGGGGCCCAGACTGGGTGATTGATATGTTTGGGGATTGTCTGTCCTGGCAGCTGCCAGGCCCTCATCTCATCGGCGGCGGTTGGGGCTTCTGGAGGGGCGGCGACTGGAGCTGTCTCTCTCTGTGGGGCTGGAGGCCCTGGTAGGGGGCTTCAGGGGCAGGAAAGCTGCCTGATCTGCAAAGGAGGGGCTGGGGGTTCCTCTTGGCTGGAGTTGGTGTCTGCCTGGTTGATCATCTTGATTGCTGGCTTAACTCTTTGAACTTTTCCACCAACTTCACTGACTGACTACAAGTATTTTCACTCACCTGAGTCCTCAGTGGTGAACGATTTGGTATTTCTCCATCAATCCGGGGAACACGACATGCGAGAATCCCTTCATGGTAGCTCAACCTTGTCTGCCTTTGAAGCATTTGAGGGTGGCAAGGCCGTCTTGAGTTGTCTGGAGTCTCCGCTGGGCTGGGTCCATTCCAATGACCAGATCAGCTGTCCTTGCAGCTTGGGTTTTGCCCCCAGCTGGGAGGCCTGAAAAAGCTCTTTTTCCAACGGCACGCTGGCTGTTGCTCTCCCCACTGGGGTAGCAGCTGCTGCCAGGTGCTTGCTTCAGGCGTTTTCTCCATCCTGAACTCTTCCCTGAATCTTTGTCAACTTGTCCCTCAATTCTAGGGACAGCGACTGGGCCTCGGGACCCCTAGATGGTTAAGAAAGTTGGAGATTTGGGCTTAATGTCATGGTTCTGACAGATGAAACTCTTCAAACAACTTTGAGGCATTGTTTACCTTAAAGAATCTTTATTCGAGTAGCATAGCATCGGCACGTACATAGGCAAAGTCAAAATCTGAATTCCCCTCCCCTGAGCACATAATATCAAAGCACAATTCCCTCCTCTAATTAACAGTCATAAATCACATTCTCCAATTAGTTTGAAATGCTGGCTTTTCCTCCAGTTCTTCAACCCACCATTACTTATTATCTCTTATTTCAAAAAACCTTGCTTCTCACCCTAGTTACAGTATTGTTATGTCTAACTAAACTCCCATGCACATTCCTCCTCCTCCCCCCCCCCAGTATCATCTAATTCTAACTCTAATTCTAAGAATAAAACATAAGAAAGAAAATGGCTGCATCTCCATATGTTGTTAAAGCAAGACCATGTGATGTTAGCAGCATTGACAGTGAGTATCTTTGAAAAATATTTCAGAGACGTTATATTTTAAAATCATAGAATCAAAGGGCTGGAAGGGACCTTGGAGGTCTTCTAGTTCAACCCCCTGCCCATGGCAGGAGACCTTATATAATCCCAAGTAAATGGTTGTCCAATCTTTTCTTGAAAACCTCCAGTGATGGTTCACCCACAATTCTGGGAAGCAAACTTTTTCATTGCTTAATTGTTCACACTGTCAAGAAATTTCTTCTTAGTTCCAGGTTGGATCTCTCTTTAATGATCTATTCATTACTCCTTGTCCTGTCTTCAAATGCTTTGGAAAATAAGCCAAGCCCTCTTTTCTGTGACAGCCCCTCAAGCCCTGGAAGACAGCTATGTGTCAGGGCCCACTTCAATATCTCATCCTAAGAAAGCAGAACTTGTGAAAGCGGTTTCTTCCAAAAGGAGCTTTTATTAGGAGAAGCTGACAGTTTCCCACCAGATCGATAGGTAAAAAGTATCCCAAGCATAACCCCACCCCATAGTTCATTCAGTCAGTTCAAACAGGTCAATCCCAAGGTTTTAAGTTTGTTGTGGGAAAAAGGAGATAACATCAGGCTGTCTCCAGGCTGCAGCGATATTTAGGCGGCTCTTCCTACCTTCCCTTGCCAACGTGGAGATAAAGCAGTTGCCGGAAGTACATTCCATTCTCCTCCCCCCCTTTACTAGCTGACAACAGGGGAGAGAAAGTTCACAGAGGTAAAAATGCAGAAACAGCAAAGTGTTACATTGTAGCAATAGAGGAAAAACAAGACAATCCTCAAGCGCTTCCCCCCTCCCCTCCAGGAGTATGGCAGAACCCAGGGAGAGAAGAGAGTGCAATTCGGGTTTGGAAAGGAAAGGAAAGGCCCTTTAAAATATGGGTTCTGACACTATGGTCCTTTTATTCAATAGGCTAGACCAGTGATGGCGAATCTTTTAGAGACCGCCCAAACTGCAACCCAAAACCCACTTATTTATCGCAAAGCGCCAGGGCTGCATCAACATAGTGGTGCCCTTGGGGGGGGCAGGGGGCGTAGCCCACTGGGTGAGCATGGCTGCAGTGGTCATGGCAGACGGGTGAGCGTGGCCGGGGCCAGGGCAGCGAGGGCCAGTCCCTTGTCATCTCTGGGGCATTCCCCGGCGGGCCAACGCTGCTTGCTTGCTCACTTCCTGCCCTGTCACTTCCAAACGCCATGTGTTTGCTACTCTGGTGGGACAATTGTGCGCATGCCCACAGAGAGGGCTCTGAGTGCCACCTCTGGCATGCGTGTCATAGGTTTGCCACTACTGGGCTAGATATACCTAGTTCCCTTAACCATTCATCATACAGTTTAGCCTCCAAACCCTTTAACATTTGTGTTGCTGTTCTCTGCACTCTTTCTAAGTCTCAGCATCTTTTTTGTTTTGTGGTGACCAAAACTAGATGCAATATTCCAAGCATGGCCTTACTAATGCAGTACAAAGCGGTAGAACCAATGGCACGCATGCCAGAGGCGGCACTCACTTTTTGTGAACTTGATGATACCGCTCTGTTGATGCAGCCCAGGACTATATTGGCTTTTTTATTGTTGCTGGGTGATACTTAAATGATGATCCACTAGGACACCTAGATACCTCTCATAGTTACTACTGTTGAGCCAGGTACAACCTATTCTATACCCATGCATTTGATTTTTTTCCTGCCTCGTTGCAGGACCTTACTTTTCCCATCACTGAACTGCATTTTGTTAGCTAGGGTGCAGTGCTCAAGTCTGTCAAATTTTATATCACTTCATGTTTATTACTTTTGAGGTGAGATTTTTTTTTCATTAGGGATATGCAAGCCTTTTTGTATAAATCAGGCATCCCATACCCAGATCAAGGTATGTTTTGCCATTGAAGAAATCCAAAAAAATGAATGATGTCTGGTCCCAGGCCCAGAGTCTGTTGTAACAGAGGTATTTTAGGGTGGGAGGGAAGAAAAGCTAGCTATGTAGAGATGGGGAGGAGGGGAAAAACATATGTTATACCAGCATTGCCCTATTTATCCCTTAATTTTTTTTGATTGAAACCTATTTCCACCCATTTTGCTTAAGTGAGACTGTGTCCTCTCTAGAATGGTCCAGGTAAGCTTCAAGGCACAATGGATTTGCATTGTGCATCAAGCAAAACACTTTTATTTTTTTGCTTTTTGAAGATTGGAACCACATCAGCTCTTTGATTCATACATCAGAAACCAGCACTTTGGATTCAAAGGCAAAAAGATAGTTGAAAGCATGTATAGGTGTGCATGTAATACCAGTTTGCAACTTTTTGAAACAGGTCTTTTATCAAGATCATGCAGTTGCTTTGAGTTCTTGGGAAAATATGCATTTGGTTTAACAATTTGCTGACATGTACTAACATGTACATCCCTGTATGATCCTAAGTACCCCATTTGAACTGAAATTACTTCACATCTTTTTAATAAGTGTGTGGGGGTGTTTTAATCTTTTGACAAATAACTTCTCCCTCTGCATAATGCACAGTTCAGAAATATTGCTTGGGCAGAAGTAGACCAATTTCCTTTCCATCTATCCTTTTTTGTTCTGTTTTATCTGCCATCAATCATTTAAATCTAATGACTATGTGTTGGGCTCTTATTCCTTCTCTCCAAAATGTATATACTAACATTGAAAATTTAGCTGCTTAAGATTTATTTGATAATCAAATGATTCTAAACTACTGAAAACATTAGGATTAAAAAAAATGTATTCTCAATAAACAGAACGATCTGAAACTGGCAATCTGTTATCTAAAACAAGAACAAGAGCAATTGAAATCCAGGATTACAGAGTCTCCAGAGAAACTCACTAATTGCAGGGAACGGATGAAGCAGACACAGCAGAAGATTAAAAAAGACAAGGTGAATCTTAATATTAAAGGCATTTTAATTGCCTTATCATAGCAATTAAAATTGATAAAATCAATATTTGTCAGATTTGTCTCCCATAGCTTCAGCTTCTGTGGTTTCCTAAAATTAAGTTCATAAGAATATACATTTTTCAAAATTAATACAATTAACTGTATCTTACATATATATTGTAATAATGAAAGCCAGTAAAAAAATTGTATCAGAACTGCAAAATTTGACAACTGCCTCAACTTTGTTCTACTTTTTCTATGTCTACAGAAATATTTAAATTCATGTCCTCCCAGTCACTCAGCTGTACTTCAGGATTAGTATTGTTCCCTAACCATGGTTCCATAGTATTTAGCTCTTCATTACTTGAATCAATTTATTTCCAGCTCAGATAACCCCATCAAAGGAACTATTGTGAAGACAGATTTGCAGCAGTAATGCCACAGGCTGGAAGCAGTCTGTTCTCTATTGCCAAGATCTCATATGTCCTGACTCCTAGGCTCTTTCCTCTTTTTGAGGTTAAGCACTAGAGTGCCGCACCACTGTTTCACCAAATTTTAAAAATTGAGGGCAAGTGTAATTTTTTTCTTCTTTCCAGTGAATGGTTGAGGTTTTTTTGTTTTTAATCTCTCTAGTATTTGTGGAGCATAATAAAAGTTTATCATTCTTATGATATAAAAAGAGTAAATAGATACACTATATAGATACACAGATATTTCTTTTAGCTCATAAATATACTTAGCTCCTTACCTTCATCAATTGTTAGTTTCACCCAGATGAGTAGAGCCTAATATAGTGCCAACTAGTTTGCCTATTGTTAATCAGCAGCAAATTTGCAGCTAATTTAAAACAAAATTTATAAGTCAAACAACTAAGGCAGATACAATGCACAGATGAACAGTTTGCACACCAGATCTGAGAGAAATACAGAATAGGTGAAATCTTGCCTTAAAGGCAGTGTGCAGCCAATTCCAGTTAAAATGGAAAATACAGAAGTAAATAATCCAATTTAGAATTGTAATTGTAAAAGTCAAGGATAGAGCTAGAAGGTGGGATGCCACTGATAGGTATCTCTAGGAAAAAGTGAGGTACTAACTGAGAAGAAAGTTGTTATATCATGGAGTAAAATAATGGCCTGCCCTGGAGGCAGAGGTGTATCTTGTGCAGCACAGAAATGTTAATGAATCTATAGAGAAAAACACAGGAAAAATGTTTTGGTTTTTTCCCCTGGAGCATTTTTATCCTAACCAAATTGAAAAAAAGGATTATAAAATATCAATGATTGAGATGTGAAACATTGTTTGGTATCTGAAAATTCATTATATCAAATGTAAGATAATCTGTAACACAGTAGAAAACTTTAAATTACAAAATAAAAGATTGAAAGAAAGGAATTGCTGATAGCAATAGTACTTCAGATTTAGAACACAAGACTGATTAGACAGTTTCATGTGGCTATAGGTATATTATAAACGTTGCAGCTCCACCCATACCAATCTCCTCGATTCTGATTTTTTTATTATAAAGCAAGAAGTAATTGAGAAGTATGAAGCTTATAGAGACTTGGTAGAGATGTTTCCATCATGTCAACTGGAGGTCCAATTGTACCGAAAGAAAATGCAAACACAAGGAGTAAATATGGATAAGCTATCAAATATATTGGCCCAGGTTTGTGCTATTCAAATATAATATCTATTGAACTTGTTGATAAAATATTTTGAGGTAATTCTTGGTAGAATGTAGTCTGAAATAAATCATGGATTCAGCACAACATTAGCAGAGAGTTCATAAAAGAAACATTTTTTGCTTCATACATACATACCCACAGATACACACATATTCTTTACTGAAGTTTGCCAAGTTCCTCTTCAAATTAGAAAAAAAGTAATGGAAACCCATTACCTAGCCCCATTTTTCTTAATTTATATTAAATTTGAACTGGGAAAATTATATTCCTGTGGGAAATGGATTGGAAGGCAAAATCATATTTAAGATACATTGAGGCAGAGTAAGATTTTGTAAGGTTCTGCCTCGACTACTCCCAAGAAAGCGGAACTCTTGAAACAGGCATTGTTTCAAAAGGAACCTTTATTGAGAGATAGTGATAGCAAGAGAGCAAAGCAAGATCTAAAGTTTTCCTGTGTTAATTGCTACATTAAAACTTTTGTTTCACAAAACCCCACCCCAGAGCCCAACTGCCCAGTTTGCGTCCAGCCAATCCACAGATGCGAAGTTGTTATGGGAACCAGAGCTGATAAGTGGTGGTTCCCAGGCGCTTCACCAGATTTCACAACGGGCTGGAGATAAGGCATATGGACCCTGGCACATTCCATTCTCCTTTTCACACCCAAAGATACACATCAAAGTTGAAGAACAAAGTAGAGGAAGTACAGCCACAAACCCCCCTCCCAGCAGAGGAAAGCCTCCCCCCTCCCACTAGAATGGCAGAGCCCCAAAAAGAACCATTGAAGGGGTTTCTGACAGATTTTGCCTGAGACCCCCAGTTTTACTAGCAGCAACTCATGCAAGCAAACTCCTAGCAAGTTTTCTACGTTGCCATGAATTTTCATATTGCATAAATAGCTCATTTAATGTCAAGCCAATCTGGTATGAGCAGAATAGCACATTTCTTTAAGAACCCATAATAGAAAAACTCTAAAAAAAAATTGAAAATCAGTCTTTGAAACCTTGGGAAAACAGTAGCGTATATCTCTGTTTAGTCTATTTTTTTCTCTTTGCAAGAATATTATGTAAATATTACACCTCTTTCAAAAGCTTTTCTTGCAAAATAAACTGGTTTACTAAATGTGGCTTGCTCAGATGTTGCATTTGTTTAGCTCTTGTTTAGCATTTGAAGTATTTTCGCTAATTAGTGATGTGTCTGCTACTTGCATTCTAAAACTTGTTTTTCAGATCAGAACGTTAGAAGATCAGATTGAGAATAGCACAAGTGGATTCAAGAATGCTAAGACGGAGGAAATGTCATTGAAGAGATTAGTCACAGTTAAACGTGAAAAACTTGCTGCTGTTGAAATCAAACTTAAAAAGATATATGAGAATACTGAACTGCAGAAACAGGCAATAACTGAGTATGAATATTGTTAGATTGTTGTTTAATTCTGCTTATTTTGCTAGCATCTTGGATGCAATTCAAAATTAGCAATCTGAAAAAAAATACTAAAATATACTGCTTTCTGGAAAATAGGTATATTCTTGAAGATACACCTTTCAATATAGTTGAACTTCATGCTGCTTTTCTGTCCTTTAGCTCCCTGGTAAAAGTAACTAATAATGGCAACGACTTTAGTAAAATCTATTTGTCATTTCCGAATCATTCCCAATTCCACTGTAATTTTTCTTATTATCAAAAACCTCAAAATTAGGATTTGGATCCCAAAGGAATGCAAGCAAATGGAAAATTATCCTTGATCCTAGATAGTTTTGTCATTAATGCACATGACAATATTTACAACAGAAGATAGTACTGTATTCAGATAACATTCCTAAGAAACTAAAAAGCTATCCTTTATTGCCATTGATACTTCAAGGAGTTGATAGTAAGATATGGATTTGTTGTGCAGAAATATTTGGTACCGTTCTCTTTTTTTTCTTCCACTCACCCTACTATACAGAGTGAAGTGGAAGGAACTTGGACCATTTTCCAGTCCTGTCTGCTTTTGAGAATTAGGGCTGGTTAATGTTTCCCTATCCCAAATTTCATAGAAGAAATGGAACTTATTAGGAATGCCTTCAACCATTAGGATCCCAGTTTTTTAATCTTTATGACCCACTTTTTTCTGCATGAAAAGATTAATTAAATCTTAATTTGCGGATGGTGCCTTTAAATAGTAAAAATATTATTTTCTAGATACTGCAATAAATTTCAAGAGAAGAGAGGAGCTGTCTGTGAAAAACTGACAGCAACAGACACCGAAATCATGCAACTCAAAGGTGTCATTCAACAGCTCAGTGACAATGTTGGGAAAGAGAAGGTGAAAGAGAAGGTGAGTGAGTGCAGCAGATGCTCATGCTGATGTTGCTTTTGTTAAAGCTCCTTCAGGCATGATATCCAACCTGCTAATGTCATCTGCAGGGCGGAAAGCCTTTATGCATAGGGCTGTATATTCATTGGCTTCACTCTCTGCAGACATCGAGACTGAGCATGCCAATCCTTCCAGGGGGCAGGTATCATCTTAGTAACATTGGCCGGCCTTATCCGGGCATTCATTTGCTGAGCGCTTAGCATAGCATAATACCCGAATGGCTGGTGTTTTTAAGGTTTCACAATCTATGTAAAGCCAGCCCTTAAATGGCTCTAGAACAAAGATAAAAAAAGTGTTGCACAAGACTTCATGTTGCACCAGCATTCCATTTCTTTGCCCTGGAGGCACAGATAAAATAGATAGGAGTCAAATACTTGGGGCACAGTTCTTTTTGCATTTTTTATGTAGCTGGGAAAGTTTGAAGGGAGCAAATATGTGCAGTATGACTTGGAATTGCTTAACAAACCCATTTTGCCACTTAAAACTCTTTGGTAGCCCCTAGCCAAAACGTACCCTGGGTATGGTTGTCCTTGATAAGGTTGAACTCTTAAGCCTAAAGAAATTAAACAACTTGGCTCTTGAGAAATTGTAAGGATAAGAACATTTCATCCCAAATGTTTTTTAAAAAAATAAAAGAGGTTTGATAGGATTAGCAAATGTCTTTTCTTTCTTAAAAATGAAAAATACATCACTTAAAGGAATGTATATACAGATCTCATGTCTCTTATAAAAAAATAATGTTTGCTGATCTTTTCTTCTGCCTCTTTAAGGAGATCTACCTCAGCTTGAGGGTTGGCTTGGAGAAATACCATGAAAGTCTGACCAGGACAGTGAACAGCTACGTATCATCCAGAGAAGAAAAAATTGCTCAATTAACTGGACTTTTTTGATATCATAATTCTAATTATTTTACATCATTTTCTTGTTCTAAAAATATGGAGTAGTCTGCTAATTGCAAGAACTGTAGAGCTTACAAATCTTTGTTGAAAAAGTGTCAAATGACTATTTTCTGCTTTCCATTATGTTAATATTTTTAACTGAATAGAATTGAGAGATGCAAACTTGAATTTACTTTCATCAGATAACAATAGTAACTTACAAATGGACATATATTTGTAAATTTTCTTTAGTCATAAAGATTTGTGAATATAAAATTTATAAACCATAACCCAACATTTTCTCTGTTAAATTGGTTCTTTTTAATCACATTGTAAAATATCACTTGAATTTTCAGCAACAAATATTGGCCATTTACTTTTTTAAAATCTTAGATCTTATGCATACTATTATAGATAGTTTCTGTAGTACCAATTATTTTAACAGCCCAAATCTCAGAAGATTACCAAGATACTGATCTATAAGGTACTGACCTCCTTGCAGGAAATCTTGTAAACATTTGAGTGAGCACACCATGCTTTACTAAGAATTTATAGTCTTGTTATTTGGGGTCCTATGAACGTCCTCTGAATGACTTGCACGAGACAGGGTGCTTACTAGCATCATGTTTCTGATTGTGGGCTTACATATGATGATTTAGAATTCTGCTAAAAAGAAAAAAAATAAGAATTACTAACCTACATGTTTCATTTTTCTACATAATAAAATCCAAATGTGATAATCTTGTTGTGATGCATTAATGGTAATGTGTTTATAAGAAGCATAATATGGATAAAATTTTCTTTAAAAATTGTTAATTGTATCTAAAGGAATCTTTAGTTCAATATTAATTGGCAACCCCAAATTCAGTATGTTGTGTGCTCATGGCTACTTTCCTTCATGACCAGAAGCAAGCTCGCCTGACCAATAACCAACCAAGACACAGTGAAGGCCTTTTGTTTCGTTTATTACAATAAGTGGGGAAAGACGCTATCAAAGCTTGGTTTTGTTTCAACCCAAAATATTCCCTTCTTTATACAACCTTATCCCAGCCACCACATCCCTCCTCTTTCCCCATTGGCTGAGGTACTATGAGGTTACACTCTTTCCAATTTCAAGCTTAAAAATTGTGCTTTTTGTAGTTTTTAAAAATTGAGCCATTTTGGTATCCAGGGAAGGAAATTCCTGATTTCGGGGTCAGGGATTTTTGTGCTCTGGAGGTGAAAATTTTTGTTTCACCCAAATGTAAAAACAGACGTCAGAATGCGATTCGGGGTTAAATTTCATGCTTAAAAATGGTGCTTTTTGTAGTTTTTAAAAATTGAGCCATTTTGGTGTCCATGGAAGGAAATTCCTGATTTCGGGGTCAGGGATTTTTGTGCTCCGCAGATGAAAAATTTTTTTTGACCCAAATGTATAAACGGACGTCAGAATGGTATTTGGGGTTAAATTTCATGCTTAAAAAGGTGCTTTTTATAGTTTTTTAAAATTGAGCTGTTTTGGTGTCCAGGGAAGGAAATTCCTAATTTCGGGGTCAGGGATTTTTGTGCTCCGGAGGTGAAAATTTTTGTTTCACCCAAATGTAAAAACAGACGTCAGAATGCGATTCGGGGTTAAATTTCAAGCTTAAAAATGGTCCTTTTTTAGTTTTTAAAAATTGAGCCGTTTTGGTGTCCAGGGAAGGAAATTCCTGATGCCGGGGTCAGGGATTTTTGTGCTCCGGAGGTGAAAATTTTTTTTGACCCAAATGTATAAACGGACGTCAGAATGGGATTCGGGGTTAAATTTCATGCTTAAAAAAGGTGCTTTTTGTGTTTTTAAAAATTGAGCCGTTTTGATGTCCTGGGGAAGGAAATTCCTGATGCCGGGTCAGGAATTTTTGCTCCGCAGGTGAAAATTTTTTTTTTTACCCAAATGTAAAAACAGACGTCAGAATGGGATTCGGGGTTAAATTTCATGCTTAAAAAAGGTGCTTTTTGTTTTTAAAATTGAGCCGTTTTTGTCCGGGGAAGGAAATTCCTGATGCCAGGGTCAGGAATTTTTGCTCCGCAGATGAAAATTTTTTTGACCCAAATGTAAAAACAGACGTCAGAATGGGATTCGGGGTTAAATTTCATGCTTAAAAATGGTGCTTTTTGTAGTTTTTAAAAATTGAGCCATTTTGGTGTCCATGGAAGGAAATTCCTGATGCCGGGGTCAGGGATTTTTGTACTCCGGAGGTGAAAATTTTTTTTTGACCCAAATGTAAAACGGACGTCAGAATGGGATTCGGGGTTAAATTTCATGCTTAAAAAGGTTCTTTTTCTGGTTTTTAAAAATTGAGCCGTTTTGGGTCGGGGAAGAAATTCCTGATGCCGGGGTCAGGGATTTTTGTGCTCCGGAGATGAAAATTTTTGTTTCACCCAAATGTAAAAACAGACGTCAGAATGCGATTCGGGGTTAAATTTCAAGCTTAAAAATGGTGCTTTTCGTAGTTTTTAAAAATTGAGCCATTTTGGTGTCCATGGAAGGAAATTCCTGATTTCGGGGTCAGGGATTTTTGTGCTCCGGAGGTGAAAATTTTTGTTTCATCCAAATGTAAAAACAGACGTCAGATTGCGATTCGGGGTTAAATTTCATGCTTAAAAATGGTACTTTTTTTAGTTTTTAAAAATTGAGCCATTTTGGTGTCCATGGAAGGAAATTCCTGATTTCGGGGTCAGGGATTTTTGTGCTCCGCAGATTAAAATTTTTGTTCCACCCAAATGTAAAAACAGACGTCAGAATGGGATTCGGGGTTAAATTTCATGCTTAAAAAAAGTGCTTTTTCTGGTTTTTAAAAATTGAGCCGTTTTTTGATGTCCGGGAAGGAAATTCCTGATGCCAGGGTCAGGGATTTTTGTGCTCCGGAGGTGAAAATTTTTTTTGACCCAAATGTATAAACGGACGTCAGAATGGGATTTTAGTTTAAATTTCATGCTTAAAAAGGTGGCTTTTTTCTGCTTTTTAAAAATTGAGCCGTTTGATGTCCCGGGGAAGGAAATTCCTGATGCCGTTGGTCATGATTTTTGTGCTCGCAGACGAAAATTTTTGTTCCACCCAATGTAAAAAACAGACCGTCAGAATGGGATTCGGTGTTAAATTTCATGCTTAAAATGGGTGCTTTTTGTATTTTTTAAATTGAGCCATTTTGGTGTCCATGGAAGGAAATTCCTGATGCCGGGGTCAGGGATTTTTGTACTCTGGAGGTGAAAATTTTTTTTTGACCCAAATGTATAAACGGACGTCAGAATGGGATTCGGGGTTAAATTTCATGCTTAAAAAAGGTTCTTTTTCTGGTTTTTAAAAATTGAGCCGTTTTGGTGTCCGGGGAAGAAAATTCCTGATGCCGGGGTCAGGGATTTTTGTGCTCCGGAGATGAAAATTTTTGTTTCACCCAAATGTAAAAACAGATGTCAGAATGCGATTCGGGGTTAAATTTCAAGCTTAAAAATGGTGCTTTTCGTAGTTTTTAAAAATTGAGCCATTTTGGTGTCCATGGAAGGAAATTCCTGATTTCGGGGTCAGGGATTTTTGTGCTCCGGAGGTGAAAATTTTTGTTTCATCCAAATGTAAAAACAGACGTCAGATTGCGATTCGGGGTTAAATTTCATGCTTAAAAATGGTACTTTTTTTAGTTTTTAAAAATTAAGCCATTTTGGTGTCCATGGAAGGAAATTCCTGATTTCGGGGTCAGGGATTTTTGTGCTCCGCAGATGAAAATTTTTGTTCCACCCAAATGTAAAAACAGACATCAGAATGGGATTCGGGGTTAAATTTCATGCTTAAAAAAAGTGCTTTTTCTGGTTTTTAAAAATTGAGCCGTTTTGATGTCCGGGGAAGCAAATTCCTGATACCAGGGTCAGGGATTTTTGTGCTCCGGAGGTGAAATTTTTTTTTGTCCCAAATGTATAAACGGACGTCAGAATGGGATTTGAGTTTAAATTTCATGATTAAAAAAGGTGCTTTTTCTGCTTTTTAAAAATTGAGCCGTTTTGATGTCCGGGGAAGGAAATTCCTGATGCCGGGGTCAGGAATTTTTGTGCTCCGCAGATGAAAATTTTGTTCCACCCAAATGTAAAAACAGACGTCAGAATGGGATTCGGGGTTAAATTTCATGCTTAAAAAAAGTGCTTTTTCTGGTTTTTAAAAATTGAGCCGTTTTGATGTCCGGGGAAGGAAATCCTGATGCCGGGGTCAGGGATTTTTGTGCTCCGGAGATGAAAATTTTTGTTTCACCCAAATGTAAAAACAGACGTCAGAATGCGATTCGGGGTTAAATTTCAAGCTTAAAAATGGTGCTTTTCGTAGTTTTTAAAAATTGAGCCGTTTTGATGTCCGGGGAAGGAAATTCCTGATGCCGGGGTCAGGAATTTTTGTGCTCCGCAGATGAAAATTTTTGTTCCACCCAAATGTAAAAACAGACGTCAGAATGGGATTCGGGGTTAAATTTCATGCTTAAAATGGTGTTTCTTGTAGTTTTTAAAAATTGAGCCATTTTGGTGTCCATGGAAGGAAATTCCTGATTTCGGGGTCAGGGATTTTTGTGCTCCGCAGTTGAAAATTTTTGTTCCACCCAAATGTAAAAACAGACATCAGAATGGGATTCGGGGTTAAATTTCATGCTTAAAAAAAGTGCTTTTTCTGGTTTTTAAAAACTGAGCCGTTTTGATGTCCGGGGAAGGAAATTCCTGATGCCGGAGTCAGGAATTTTTTGTGCTCGCAGATGAAAATTTTTGTTTCACCCAAATGTGAAAACGGACGTCAGAATGGGATTTCGGGTTAAATTTAATGCTTAAAAATGTGCTTTTTGTAGTTTTTAAAAATTGAGCCATTTTGGTGTCCATGGAAGGAAATTCCTGATGCCGGGGTCAGGGATTTTTGTACTCCGGAGGTGAAAATTTTTTTTTGACCCAAATGAATAAACGGACCTCAGAATGGGATTCGGGGTTAAATTTCATGCTTAAAAAAGGTTCTCTTTCTGGTTTTTAAAAATTGAGCCGTTTTGGTGTCCGGGGAAGAAAATTCCTGATGCTGGGGTCAGGGATTTTTGTGCTCCGCATATAAAATTTTTGGTTTCACCCAAATGTAAAAACAGACGTCAGAATGCGATTCGGGGTTAAATTTCAAGCTTAAAAATGGTGCTTTTCGTAGTTTTTAAAAATTGAGCCATTTTGGTGTCCAGGGAAGGAAATTCCTGATGCCGGGGTCAGGGATTTTTGTACTCCGGAGGTGAAAATTTTTTTTGACCCAAATGTATAAACGGACGTCAGAATGGTATTTGGGGTTCAATTTCATGCTTAAAAAGGTGCTTTATGTAGTTTTTAAAAATTGAGCCGTTTTGGTGTCCAGGGAAGGAAATTTCTGATTTCGGGGTCAGGGATTTTTGTATTCCGGAGGTGAAAATTTTTTTTGACCCAAATGTATAAACGGACGTCAGAATGGTATTTGGGGTTCAATTTCATGCTTAAAAAGGTGCTTTTTGTAGTTTTTAAAAATTGAGCCGTTTTGGTGTCCAGGGAAGGAAATTCCTGATTTCGGGGTCCGGGATTTTTGTGCTCCGCAGATGAAAATTTTTGTTTTACCCAAATGTAAAAACAGAAGTCAGAATGCGATTCGGGGTTAAATTTCATGCTTAAAAATGGTGCTTTTTGTAGTTTTTAAAAATTGAGCCATTTTGGTGTCCATGGAAGGAAATTCCTGATTTCGGGGTCAGGGATTTTT